GACTACTTACAGAATACATTCAGATAGGTCATTGTGTCAATATATGTAAGTCAGCAGACGACTACTTACAGAATACATTCAGTGTAATCCCATCTTCTAGTGTCTCCTCTGGTAGATGTTGATTTTCAGCTCTACAAGACAAGTATTTCCCGTTATCCTCAGTAGATGGCGAGTAGATCAGGTTGCTCACTGTTCGATTTCCACCATCAGTGATAGCCTCCATAGCAGTTTCTATCTTCAGGTTTCCCAACCACCAAGTTATGTGAGCAGCAGGCCGTGACCCCGTAGTCTGGCATTCAATCCCGAACCGCCGATTAGCAGAAACATGGTGATGCTTGGAGGTAATAAACACTTCCGTCGGCTTCACTGGGCGGAAAGTGGATTATTCAGTCTAAATACTTATATTATTATTGCTTATAAATTGTACAGAATTAGAAAATTATTTTTCTGTTTTAAATACGATAAATCCTTCTCTGTCTTTAGATCTTTCTAGAGGGTGATCTATGTATATAGACATCTGTGTGTTTGTTGCAAAGAAAACAACAGTTATATTAATTTTAAGACCAAGCGAAAAGAGAGCGTCATAAAACAGATTCTCTCTATTGGTATAACAAGTAACGTCAAACACATAGAACAAGCAAGTAAGAGTAAAGTAAAAAACAACAGAATTAGAAGGATATAAACGTATCCTAGAAAGTGAGATACCTGCAGAACTAAGACCAGTACTGTGGTGGGATAAATTGTTTATCAGATTTATTCCATTTTCCAATCTTCACACGTAAAATGAAACTAGCACTTAAACATTTAGTATGTGTACATAAGACCACAGCTCCCCATTTCACAAGTTGCCACTTGCAAGCTACATGTTCATTACTGTGGAACCCGCCAAACCATTTAAAGTATTTTATGGAAAATTCAAATGGTTAAATAACAACAGAAAATAAACCAAAGGTATTAAAATTAAATAAATAAAGTTTAAATAATACTACGAGAAAAAGCGTTCAAACTGGTCTGTTGTCAAATTGTCCAGCGTTCCAAGAAACAAACTTTAAAATATTGTCATTGCTCAATTAGAAGCACAAAAGAGGTGTATTTTACTTCATTATTAAATATTATGCGTCTTAACGTATGTTCTTAAATAAAAAAAAAGGAACACGAACACTTAAAGACAGTAGAGTCAAGAGAATGTGTTTAACTGTTAATTTTGTGCGTAAACCCTAGAATCAAGTACACTTTTCTAAACTATTTTTATTTATGTACCAAACTGATTATGGGTCCAATGAATGTGTTCATTACAGAATTTCTAATAACTTAAGAGTTGCACGTAAATACACAAAGTGTATTACACGAATTACTGTTGTATTTTACATAAGAAATGAGTGATTTCCCTCATTTTTTTATTATTTCTTCAGACTGACTTGTATAACTTAGTGTTATTCAGTGTAATGCAATATATCGGTAAAGAATAGTAATTTGAGGGTTAAGTACCACAAGTTCTTATTGGAAACTTAGAAGTATTGAACAAAGATATCTGAAATAGTTTAACAGGAACCCGTAATGACAACTCATTTGCTTATCACTGAAAACCGAATGTGGGTTGAGCATTGCCCAGATGAAAGCGTGCTAGATTGTGGATCCGTGGTTCGCACCCAATTACACCTCGAAACAAATCGCGCTCTGCACTTGGGAGCCGTGGGTGTGTTATAAGAATGATGATCAAATCCCAATTCTAGATCAGAGTAGCCAACGAGATAACGGTTGGTAGTGTTGAGTAGCTGCCTTACCTCTAGCCAGTCAGATAATCATCGAGTTGCTTTGATCGAAATTTAACAACATGAATCATTGTAAAAACAAAATGCAACCCTCCAAAAAAAAGTACTACAACAGGAGAAAATAAAGAAAATATCTTTCAAGTTAAAAAAAAACTGGTCCTGTAAATGGCATCAACTTCGATTCCGATCTATTCAAGATCAATGCCTTACGGGTTCCTCCATTCCCAGGTCTCTCTTTGTAGTGGGTCGACCGCGGGTTCCTCTATTCCCAGGTCTCTCTTTGTAGTGGGTCGACCACGGGTTCCTCCATTCCCACGTCTCTCTTTGTAGTGGGTCGACCACGGGTTCCTCCATTCCCACGTCTCTCTTTGTAGTGGGTCGACCACGGGTTCCTCCATTCCCACGT